GGAGAATGAGGGAATGCTGTTCTCTACTGCCCGTTGCAGATATTGTGCCCCTGCGTGACCTTCATGGTTTGTGATCCCATATTGTGGAGGCTGTATGGTCAGCCAAATTAATAGCTTTATCACCGAACTTGTCTAGCACCTCTCCTTCCTTGATCTTATCTCACAAATATGCAAAGTTGTTTTTATTGACAGGCAAGTCTTACATTTCTTCTTATGCAGACGTACAAAGGTATATAAAGCAACAAAATTTGGTGCATATTCTTGCGTATTTTTATGCCCTACTTTCTCTTTTGTAATTGGGTTTGAATTACTGTTGCTACTACTTTATTACAATGTGGAATTGTGTTAGTTGCCCAAATTTTAAATTTTAATCTGTCCCTATACATTTAGTGCATCATTAGAACCATAAGAACTGGAAAATAACAGTAATTTACCATTTGGATTTTTTCTTTCTTTGCCCACTTCTACCTTTCTACTAGCGTCTCCCAAGGCCCGCTCTAGCGTTTGATCTTCAACGTAAGAGTACAAAATACTGGGTTCTATTTTGATGAGATATTGCCCCAAATACCCCGATCTCGGTGGTAAATACTGTCTCACAACAATTCTACCTGGTAACTCGGTTCATTCTTTTCACCTTGGCTTTTCTTACTAATCCCAATTTTTGTTAAATAACAGCTCCTGTGGGAGGTCATTTACAGTTTTACGATGTCTGCAGCATCAGAACTGTTGCCCACTTTATGTGAATGCTCACGTCAATGGAATGCTTAGGTAGCGTTTGGTCTTCTAGTTAATAAAACGACTTTCATTCCACTGTTCACAATGCGTGGTCGCCTCTAAGAAGAATGTTTGTTCACCAGGGTGCCAGTTAGCAGTACAATTTTAAATTCCCTGTCTTTTTATTGGTGCACTGAGGCGTATGGCTCTCGCACGTAACATCAAAGGCCAATCAGAAGGAGCAGCTTGTCCTACGTCATGCGCCAAATGATGCGATTGGCTGGGGCTTGGTGAAAGCTCCGATCGAGCGTTTTGACGGTAAGTTCTCCGTAGCGTTCGTATTT